GCGCAAGTCGAGCTTGGTGAAGAAACGAGCGTGCCGGAGCTCGTCGAGGAGTTCGTCCACCACCGGGATCGGAAACGCATTCTTGACAGTAATGGCGTTTAGGGCGCGGTAGTCGATGCAGAAGCGCCAGGACCCGTCGGCCTTGCGGACCAGACGAGAATGCGGAACAACTCGCTCGGATGATGCCCTGGGCGAGCATGGCGGCGCACTGACGCTCCAGCTCGTCCTTGTGCGCGGCCGGGTAGCGATACGGACGGACGGCCACCGGGGTGGAACCGGGCAGCAGGGTGATGCCGTGGTCGCGGCTGCGGGGCGGTGGCACGCCGGAGGGTTCGGCGAAGGTGCCGTCGAACTCGGTGATGATGGCGTCGAGGAAGTCGCAGCCGCTGCATGATTTCAGGGCTGGCCCGTCCGGTCCTGCAATGCCGCGCCAGCACACCCGATGGCCCCTCCGCCAGAATGTCATGGAGAGGGCGCGGAAATCCCACAGGATCGGTCCGAGCGTCGCCAGCCACTGCGTGCCCAGGACGATGTCGTAGCCCGCGAGCGGCAAGGCGAGGAAATCCTTCGAGAACTCCTCTTGGCCGATGCGGAAGGGCACGACGCGGTACGCGCCCTGGCACGGAACGCGCTCGCCGTTGGCCACCGTGACGCGCATCTTCTCGGTGGTGGGGGATGGCAGCGTAGCACGAGCGGCCGCCTCCTCGGCGATGAAGTTGTGGGTGGAGCCTGAGTCGATCAGGGCGAGGAGGAAGACACCCCCGAGAGTAATATGCATCTGCATGGTTTCGGTCGTGCGCACCCTGGAGATTGCGTGGAGCGAGATCTGAGGGTCGGCCCGCGATGCATCATCAGTAGCGGAGGCTGCGTCGTCGTCGTCGTCCGGCGCTAAGTCGAGGAGAACGATGCGCTGACACACGCGGTTGTGGCCCCTGCCAAACTTCTCGTTACAGTTGAAGCATAGGCCCAGGCGACGGCGTTCCTCCATCTCTGTCTGGGAGAGACGTTTGATTGGGCGCCCGTCCGGCAGACTGTGGCCATGCTGGGGTGCGGCTGGTGGGGCCGGTGCGGGGGGCGCGAGGCGTGGTCCTGGCGTCGGCAGAATGCCCTTCTGCGGAAAACGCACCGGTGGCGCGGCGGAAAGCGCGCACTGGTCGCGCAGCTCCAATTTGCGGGCGAGGCTCATGGCGACGGCGAGGGACTGCGGGTTATGGATTTCCACGTCGAGGCTGAGGGGTGGCTGGAGGCCTGCGGTGAAGATCTGAACTTTCTGCGTTTCCGACAAGGAGCCTGCCCGGGGAAGGAGCGCCTCAAACCGCTCCTGGAAGTCGACGACGGACGTCGTGCGCTTGCACGCCATCAGTTCGCCCAGCGGGTTCGCGCGCAGAGGAGGCCCGAAGCGGAGGTTGAGCAGCTCGGAAAAGCGGCGCCATGGCGGAGTGCCCTCGTCACGCTGGACCTGCATGTACCACAGCTGGGCAGAACCCTCGAGGTTGTATGACGCCATCCAGACTTTCTCCTCCTCGGCGATCCGTTGTTGATGGAAGAAGGACTCGCATCTGTTGAGGAAAGCGAGCGGGTCGGACTTGCCGTCGAACTTGGGGAAGTCCATCTTCTGAAACCGCGGGGGCCGATCGTTGTGGTGCTGTCCGTCGTGGCTGATATCGGCGGCTGACGAGGAGGCCGACTTCTCCTTCTGGAGGGCTGCCACGGACAACTGCAGGGATGTCACGGTTGCAGTCAGGGCTTCGATCATCTTGGCCAAATCAGCGGTGGTGGGTTCCGACATGGCGGAAGAAACCGAGGTGGCGGCGGATGGCGGCGATGGAGGTGGGCGGGGCGGCGGGTGCAGCGTGGAGGAGGCCGAGGAGCGGCTGGAACCTGATACCAAGTTGTCAAGGGCCTCAGTGCCCAAGACAGCGGGGCCTCGACTACGTAGTTCGTAGTCTCGGTGGATAGGAGCGCTAGGGTTTTTTGCCTGGCTGCTCAATGGTGTGGGAGGAGAGGATAGGAGACGGAGGAAGAGGTAGGAGATAATAACTTTATTGCTTGCCCTCAAAGGGTGCTGATTATACGATATATAAAGGCCCCATGGGCTGCTAACAAACTAGAAACCTATACGTAACAAACTAGTCTTTTATTCTAGGAACTAATGTATCAGGACCAGGACTCCTGCCCAGCCTACGCCTTGCCTGATGCGGCCGACGGCTGCTGCTCCTGGCCGCGTGGCCCACGCCTGTAGGACGTGCCCCACATGACATCATGGCCCACCTTGGACTGAACTAGGTTCCGCCCTAGAGTGAACCATATAACTGGAAATAAATCTGATGTTATTTTCACTTGTGCTGTGCACAGTTGGAGCGTGATGCTGGCCGGCTGATCGACTGCAGGGAAAGAGTGAATTTCTGCCCTCTTGGTGCTTGTGCTTTGGCTGGAACTGGACTCCCCATTGATAGGTTCAAAACTGCTAAAGATTTGAAGTTTACAGCTCCGATGAAGAACAGGTAACCAACATCCTTGATTTCCTTAGTAGTGTGAAACTGCAAACATGTAAAGCAGATAGTATGCTTTCTCTGCTATATCTTGTTGAATTGCAACCAAGATAAAGTTAGTTTATTAAATTGCATACCTTAGCACCCTTAAATATTGTACGTCTTGCAAAATGAGTCTCTACCTTACATGCAAGCGCACATGTACCCTATTATATAGTTTTTTTGGGAGCACATTGATCTTACCAAAGTAAAGCTGATTGAGGGCTAATTTGTTTTGGAAGATTCCTACCGGATTATCCCCTGTGTTTAGCATTCGTTTCATAGGAATAGAGGTACTAGATTCCTTAGGATTGTGTCCATATTAACCTCATTCCTTAGGATTCTTAGCATTAGGTGAGACCTCGTAGAAAATTCCTCAAATTGACCTCATTCCTTAGGATTCTTAGCATTAGGTGAGACCTCATGGAAAATCCCTAAGGATTGGAGTGGGCAGGGCATCCTATTCCTCTGATTTGAAAATCCTTGAAAATGAATGAGCCCTAAAGATGTTAGGCCTGACTGCATTATCATTTTGTGGCTACCTAGTAAAGAGGTGAAATATAATACAGAGGTACAAATACCCTTTTTTTTAATTTGCTTGTTCATACTTGATTTACAGGATTAGTTATTCAGACAACGACTACCATTTTTCAAGTTTTACTGCTGGAATATTCCTGCGCAATTGAAATTATAAGCGATGCTAATAATTGAACTAACTCTATGCTTTCTCTCTCTGATATAAGTGATGCTAATAATTGAACTAACTCTATGCTTTCTCTCTCTGAATTTCCTCCTTTTGGGTTAACCACACCTTTTGACATTTGTTTCGGTATTTGATTATTCTTTTTCTACAGCATTGATGCAGTGTCAGATCGTGACTTTGTTTTGGAGTTTCTTGCTGCCAACTCTATTGCTGCTATTCATCTTTCCCGCATTGGCGAAGAGTGGGTCTTGTGGGCGTCAGAGGAGTTCGGGTTCTTGACACCAAGTGACTCGGTTTCAACTGGAAGCAGCATTATGCCACAGAAGAAAAATCCGGATCCGATGGAGCTTGTTCGTGGGAAATCTGCTAGGGTTGTTGGTGATCTCATGACTGTTCTAGTCCTCTGCAAAGGCCTTCCACAGGCCTACAACCGTGACCTACAGGTGCGTCTCATTCTTGGTAGTTTTATTACCCAGGCTTGGTTTCCTGTGCATGTTCTGAAAATTTCTTTTTCGAGCAGGAAGACAAGGAACCCTTATTTGACAGTGTGAAGGCCATACTAGGAATGCTTGAAGTATGCAGTGAGTTTGCTCAAAATATCTCTTTTAACTCGAAAAGAATACAAAGTTCGCTGCCTGCTGGTTATCTGGATGCAACAACACTGGCAGATTATCTTGTGAAGAAGGTAAACACTACTCTACTTAGTCTGGATTAGCCATAGGTTTACACTAGGAAATAAATTAATGCACGATATAAAAAAAATTTGCACGAGTCAAACATTATCACTTATTTTATTTTATTCTGCTGTGTTATTTATTTGACTAGGATGGTTACTCTGGTTAAGTGGTTTCTATATTTCTGTTCCGCAGGGCGTTCCATTCAGAACTTCTCATGAGATAGTTGGAAGGTGCGTGGCTTTATGCGTGTCGAAGAACTGCCAGCTCACAGAGCTTGAAATGGACGACTTGAAAGCAGTCCACCCTGTCTTCGAGGCCGATGTCTACGCCTACTTGGGTGTCGAAAACGCGGTCAACAAGTTCATATCCTATGGTTCTACAGGCTCAGAGCAAGTAAAAAAACAGCTTGAAGATTGGCGCGTTCAGCTTGGGATCAACCCATAAGGCGCAGCATCAACAGAAGAATAAATCCCCTAAGTCTAGTCTGGCTGTTATTTATTTTGGGAGGTGGATTGTAGTGTTATGAACGTGGTTTCTGGACGAGAGACAGTCTGCTGTTGCTTCATTTGAGAGTTGGAGTGATCCGTTCAACGTTTTTATTTATAAGGCACTTGCAATTGTACTGAAAAGGCTGTGTATGTTTGATCTCCATCACCAATCCAAAAAGGATGCCCATTAGTTTACAGAGGGAGTATCTGTGTTTATGTCCAAACAGGAGACTGCTTCTATTTATTTATTTTAAACGTCACCATATTATGGCGACCAGATACCATAGGCACCCGCCAGAAGAGAATTGCACAAAAAGCTGAAGCTTTGTTGAGATAGTGATGGAGCATGATTTACTATGCTACTCTACCTAGCATGCCTTGTGAGTTCAACCAACACGACCAGGCACGGTTCATTTCCAGTCACACACATCAAGCAAAGCTGTCCGTCCATACGAGCGAGGCAGGCACAGCTCTGCCGCTCAGCTCAGCTCACGGTGCACAGCTCTGTCACTCTGCACCGCAGCCATGCCCAGAGTTTTACACTACATACATACACATCTTCTTGCCAACTCCCACTTAATTAATCACTTGGGCGGACGAGTCAGGCCGCAGCGTCGTCTGTTGGAACTAATCTTGTTATTAGTCCTGATTAGATCATGCATGCATGTAGTTGAGATGTGACACTAAAAGCTGCGGCTGTGTAAGAGACGTGATCACGTTTGCATGGAAAGCTAGTAGTGTTGGTTAGTGCATGCAGGATTAGCCAAGTCGTGGAGTTAGTTAGTGGTCTAGAGAAAAGGTCTTAGTGGTAGTTGAGTCCTGAGTGCATGGCCAGATTTTGTGGCCATTGAAGGTTGCGCAAGTGCTGGTTGTGGGCATGCATGTAGCTAGGAATTAGTTAGTGGGCAGGTCATGATGTTGGTGGCTAGCATCGTGCGCACATGAGTCTCTTGTACTGCTATATAAGTCAAGAAAAGGAATGAGAAATGAGGCCGTGAGGACTGAGGCAAAATGTAGCCTTCGTGGTAGCCAAGGGAGAGTCACTTGGCAAAGCTATGTGTTCTTCCCTGGTATATGCGTGTGTGTGTGTGTGTGTTCTTGAGAGAGGAGAGAAACCACAAGAGAGATGAGAAAGTTGTGTGAGGCAGCTCGAGGAAGAAGGAGAGAGGCGCTGCAACGAGAGGCGGCGCCAACATCGTCCACCTGCTGCCTGCGCCGCTCATTGGACTCCTTGATCTTCAGCAGCTCGTCGCAGACAATCCACGGGAAGCTCCAGAACTGCTTCTTTCCCGGCCGGCGGTGGCCCGGGTGATAGGTCACGCGGTACCACGCCGAGGTCCTCCTCGCCGCCTCCGCCTTCGGGCGGCTCGTGAACCAACCCAGCACCTCCTTGTGCAGGCCCTCGACAGAGTCGATGATGCGGTCCTTCATCTCGAAGTACCTCTTGTTGTCCTTCTTCAGGTACAGGAGCCAGTTCCGGATGTTGCCGGTCAGGATCTCGTCCTCGTGCTCCGCGCCGTAGTAGACCATCAGGGTGCTCAGCTTCTCCGCGTACAGATCGTAGCACTCCTCCGCGGATGCCAGGAAATCCTCGAAGCCAGGGACCTCCAGGTCGGGATCGAACGCGGGGCTCGCTTGAGCCGAGGACGGGGTGGCAGGTGCGCTCTGCATACGGCTCGCAGCCGCTCGGTAGAGCTTGCCGAGAGCTCCGTCGGAGATGTACGTTGGTTTGTCCCACCATTCCATGAAGTCGGGGTACTCCTTTGGTCTCAGTTGTTGGATAAATGAGTAACTAGTATTTCCTGAGGGCCAAAGGCCATTACATATATATGTGTGTCAAAGTGCAGAAAACCCCTTACACAATGGGGATATACCGAAAAAGAAACTATACACATCTAACACCCCCCTCAAACTCATGGTGGATCAACAACACTGAGTTTGGAGAGGAAAAAGCCGTGCTGCGCTCGAGTCTGTGCCTTGGTGAAGAAGTCCGCCAACTGTAACTCAGAGGGCACATAGTGAAGAGCGAGAGTCTGATCCTGCACAGCAGCTCGCACAAAGTGGGCATCCACACCGATGTGCTTGGTGAGCTCATGCTTCACCGGGTCACGCGCAATACTGATAGCGCCAGTACTGTCTGACAGTAAGGGAGTCGAGGTGGTAGCAGACACATCAAAATCCTCAAGTAACCACCGTAACCAGATCACCTCAGCCGTCAACATCGCCATGGCTCGCAACTCAGCCTCTGTACTCGAGCGAGAGACTGCAGTCTGTTTCTTTGTTTTCCAGGCAATAAGAAAGCCACCAAGAAAGACACAATAAGCAGACAGCGAGCGTCGATCAGAGGGATCACTAGCCCAGGTAGCATCAGAATAGGCCTGGAGCTCAAGAGAGCTGGAGCAGGGAAAGAAAAGGCGCTGAGAGATCGTGCCACGAAGATATCGTAGAACACGGAGGAGATGACTATAGTGAACAGAGGTGGGGGCTGAAACAAACTGACTCAGGATGTGAACAGGATAGGAGATGTCAGGACGCGTAACAACAAGATAGACAAGACTGCCAACAAGATGACGATAGCGAGTGGGATTAGGAAGAGGGTCACCATCGGTGGCACGAAGCTGAACATTGAGCTCCATAGGAGTCACAACCGTGCGCTCATCACCGAGAGCAGCACGAGCAAGAAGATCCTGAATATATTTTTCTTGGGAGATGTAGAAGCCATCAGAGGTCGAGGAGATCTCAATCCCAAGAAAGTAGCGAAGTGGACCAAGATCAGTCATAAGAAACTGGTCACGAAGGCGAGCCTTAACAAAGGCAATGTAATTAGTGTCGTCACCAGTGATGATCATGTCATCAACATAGAGAAGGAGAAGAGTCCGACCATGAGGAGACGTGCGAACAAACAACGCGGGATCATGATCACTGGGCAAGAAACCAGCGGCGGTCACCACAGATGCGAAGCGCTCAAACCAGGCGCGAGGGGCCTGTTTGAGACCATATAGGGAGCGACGAAGTCTACAGACCATACCATCAGGAGCATAGTACCCCTGTGGGGGCTGCATATAAACCTCCTCACGCAGCTCGCCATTGAGAAAAGCGTTCTGAACATCAAGTTGAGAGATAGACCACTGACGAACAGAAGCCACAGCAAGAAGAGTGCAGACAGTAGTCATGTGAGCCATAGGAGCGAATGTCTCATCATAATCGCGCCCTTGCTCCTGCTGAAAGCCACGGGCCACAAGACGAGCTTTGTAGCGCTCAAGAGAACCATCGGAGTGAGTCTTAAGCTTGTAGACCCACTTGTAGGTGATGGGACGGACACCGGAAGGAAGGGGAACTAGATCCCATGTGCCAGAGCACTCAAGGGCAGCAAGTTCCTCGGCCATCGCAAGCTGCCATTCAGGCTGAGTCATGGCAGTGCGATAGGAAGTGGGCTCAGTCAAGACAGAGAGACCGTACCGACCAGGGGAATAGCGATCAGGCGGAGGGCGAGGCCGAGCACGGAGGTTATGAACCGGAGAAGGTGTGAGAGGAGGTGACCAGATGTGGAAGGCTCGTCAGAGGAGACATCCTCAGTACGAGATCGTCGAGTATAGTGGAGAGGAAACGGTGAGAGAGGGCGACGGACTGGAGAGGATGGGGGAGAGGTGGAGGAGGAGGATGGAGAAGATGGGGTCGGTGGTGGATGAGAAGGAATGAGAGGTGCCGGAGGAAGAGGTGATACATGAGGCACATAGCAGGGTGTATCGGGAAGGAGAAGGAAAGAAAGGTCGTCCACAGAGAACCTCGAGGAAGAAGAATGTGGGTAGTAAGAACGAGACTCGTCAAAAGTCACATCATGCGAGATGCGCAAGCAACGACCCACAGGATCCCAACATCGATAGCCCTTGTGCTCCTCACTGTAGCCAAGGAAAACACACTCAACCGACTGAGCAGTCAGTTTGGTTCGTTCTCGGGGGGCAAGAAGAACATAGCAGACACATCCAAACATACGAAGAGCTGAGTAGTCAGGAGAGCGACCAGTGAGACACTCCATAGGAATGCCACCCTGCAGAGCAGTCGATGGCTGAATATTGATGAGATAGGTGGATGCGGAAACAGCCTCAACCCAAAAAATAGGGTGGAAAGGAAGCAGCAATCATCAATGCACGAGCCGTCTCAAGCAAATGATGATGCTTTCGCTCGGCAACACCATTCTGAGCGTGAGCACCAGGACAGGAGAACTGGGCAAGAGTACCCTGTTCCGCAAGAAAACCACGCAACAGCTGAGAGATATACTCTCCAGCAGAGTCAGCACGAAAAGTACGAATGGGCGTGGCAAACTGGGTGTGAACCATGGCAACAAAACGTTTGTATATAGGGAGAACCTCGCTACGAGATTTCATGAAGTAGAGCCAAGTGTAGCGAGAGAAAACATCAATAAACAAAACATAGTAGCGATGACCACCTTTCGAATCAAAGGGAGCGGGACCCCAGACATCAGAATGAACTAAGTCAAAAGGACGCTGAGATACAGACACACTAGTAGGATAAGGTAACTGAGTCTGTTTGCCAAGTCTGCAACCATTACAATGTAAGGAGACATCTTCAGATACAAACCCTAAGAGGCCCTGACGAACTAAGGAAGACAAGCGAGAGCCACAGATGTGACCAAGTCGATGATGCCACTGCTGGAAGGACGCAGACGAAGAGGCAGCAAGAGCATGAGAGCTGGCGGAAGTGGTGGCAGCGAAAGGAACACAAAGCCAGTCAACCTCCCAAAGGCCCTTTGACTCACGGCGCCGGGGGCCAGCACCAACCAAAGCCTTGGTGCGACGATCCTGAATGGAGCAAGAGTCGGTATCAAGAATGACACGACAACCAGAATCAGTAAGTTGGGCAGCGGAAAAAAGATTCATGGTAAGGCGAGGAACATGTGAAACGCTCGGAACAGAAAAAGATGGAGTGGAAAGAATACCATGACTAGCAACAGGAAGTGATGTGCCATCGGCGGTAAGAACATTAACAGGAAAATCAAGAGGTCGGAGAGAAGACAACGCGGAAGAATCAGAAGACATATGAAAGGAGGCTCGAGAATCCAGAACCCACGAAGATGTACCTGGTTGTGTAGATGCCTGTGATGACGAGGAGGAGGATGCAGTCACGGCAGCAGCAGAGCCAGTTGACGAGGAGCCTGAGGAAGCAAGAAGACGCTTGAGGCGAACAATGTCCTGGTCAGTGAGTGACGGAGCCGAGGAAGACACAGGAGGCCCGCTGAAGGAGGAGCGCCTCTGGTCTCGCTTCTTCTGGCGACAATCAGGATCTGGGTGACCTGGCCGGGAGCAGTAACCACAGATGGTGTCACGGCGCGACGTGCCCTTCTCAGCATAAGGAGGACGGCTCACCCCCTTGGAGGAGTGGGTAGGAGCGGCGGAGCAGTGAGGCGAGCAGACGACACAGGAGCCCGGGCAGCCAAAACTGACGGAACCAGAAGCAACCCAGCAGAGCGAAGGCAGGTCTCCTGGGCACGAAGCTCAGCAAGTATCTCTGAGATAGGAACACGACCACGAGCAAGCAAGTGAGCACGGCGAGGCTCAAACTCAGAGCGAAGACGAGATAAGAACTCATGGACCCTCTGAAACTCCAAGTCAGACCTCATAGTCTGGCAACAATGGCAAGTGCCACAAACAACTGTCCGCAGTGAGTCAAGCTGATGCCAGATGGCAGAGCACTGGGAATAGAACTCATCCACAGATGAGTCACCCTGCTGAAGAGCATGCTCCTGACGCACCACAGAGAGGTATAGAGCATCACCAGAGGGCTGATAGCACTGACAAAGATAGGACCACATCGCTGCAACAGTGCCGAGACCCATGAACTCCGAAGCAAACTGAGGTAGGACACTTGCAGTAAGAACAGCAGCAGCTCGAGCATCATCATTGCACCACTGAGTATAAGCAGACAGATCATCCCGGTAGACAGAAAGAGCATCAGAATATGCGGATACCTGTTGATCATAAGCATCAACAACAGCATCATCAAGAGCCTTGGCTGCATCCCGATCAGCCTGAGGAGCATCAGCAGCAAGCACCGGCGGGATTGGGGCCACGGGCGCAACAGGGCATGGCGGACAGGGGACCTCGCCAGAAAGAACACCCCACAAAAGAAGACCACACATATGGATGTGCATGAACCCCACAAACTCAGCGTAGTTGGTGCCATCAAAGATCACCGAACACCGAGGAACAACAACATAGCGCGAAGAAGACATAACGAGGGCTTCTGGTGCTTTCTCTGTTTTTTTTGGTCAACGCACGGAAGACAGCCGATCCAGATCGGGCTGGAGAACGAGCAAGGCAGGCTCGCTCGATCGGGCCCCGCTGGATCTGGAGCAGGGGCGCTGGGGCGGGCAGCCTGGCCCCGCTCGATCTGAAGCAAGGGCGAGCAGGCGGCCGGCTTCACCCGATCTGAAGGGGCGCGCGGGCGGCCTCACTCGAGCGGAAACAGGGGCGCGCGGTCGAGCAGCCCGGTCTTGCTCGATGTGAAGCAGAGGCGCACGGGCGGACGAAGAAGCAGAGGCGCGGGGCGCCGGCGGCCGGACGGGACAAGAACGCCGGCGGCCAGGACAACCGAATCCAGAAACGGGGTCAACCGGCCGGAGAAGGAGAGCTCCGGGCGCAGGGCGCCGGGTCCGGCCAGCGACAGACTAGAGCAGCCGGAGATGAGGCTGGGAATCGAGGTAAGCTAGAGGAGGGGCGCACGGAGTTGCGTCGTGCGAGAGAGCGAGGCTAACCTAGCATCTGATACCATGTTGGATAAATGAGCAACTAATATTTCCTGAGGGCCAAAGGCCATTACATATACATGTGTGTCAAAGTGCAGAAAACCCCTTATACAATGGGAATATACCGAAAAAGAGACTATACACATCTAACATCAGTGATCGGGGCATTTGGAGCTCCTGACTTGGCGAAGTCGACCGCCATCGAAATGCAAAGCAGCTAGCTGGAGGCACTCAGGGCTCCGGGCTTTCATTGGATGACGATCCACGTGGACCAAGTGAGCAGTTGAGATTGCACCGAGCGAGTCATTTATCATGTAATCTACAAAGTACTTCTGAATTTCCTGCAGTTCATTAGATGTTTCTGTAAGCTTTCAGGTATAAACATGTCAGGCGAGGAAAATACATTTGCTTGTCGACAAGAGAACTCTGAACTGCTTATTGGAGCCAACTGGTAAATAGTTGTGAACCTACCAAGGTTAGAGATATACATTGAAGAACATTTTAAAGCCAAGACTACTTTAAAACTCAATCATGCACAACTCTTTTCATTAGAGGATGGCAAAAATGTCTTTCTTTCTGAAATAAGTACCCACATTTCTACAGAACGTTATTAATTGTGTGTGGCTAGCATATATTTGGTTCAAAGCATTCAACTTTTTTTGTTGGCTGTTATGCCATCCTGGCTGAGTTCGACGCTCGTAGCCAGTTATCTCTGGCTGTTGTGCACTTACCATGTAGGCATGTAATCAGTTTTTGGCAAAGAAATGTTTTAGAAAGATGTGAGGTGCCTCAAGGTAATAATAAATATCTAAAGTTACTAATCTCCCAGGAAATATGACGCCCTCAGCGATCTGGTTTTTTTTATCGTTTCTGGTCAGCTAGTGTTGACACAAACTAAACTCGCTACTCCTAACAGAACACGCCTCTTCATGGACAGAGTGGGGAGGAGAAAAGGCAGTGGGCAGCTTTGTGGCTTCGCTGGATTGATTGTGTGTGGGGGCTTCGAGGGGGCGATGCTGTTCCAACCGGCCACCGCATCAACAATCACAGGAACCACTTGGTAGTGTGGTTACCTCATTCGCGTTGACATCAGCTGTTCATCCCTGAAGGTGGAGTTCCTATCCTTTATCTGATGCTAATATTATGCTAGCCACACACAATATAGAATGCTTGTGTTCTATTTTGAGTACATTCACACCGTCAGGTACTTGATGTGTTCAGTTACACAATTTCAAAATAGGCTAATATTATCACAAAATTTTCAGCAGTACCACTTAGAATGTTTGTCAGGTTACAAAGAATTGGAAGATAGGATGCACTTTTCACCAAATTTGGAAAGTTCATGGCTCAGTGTGGTGTTATTGCTTATTGATAACTCCTGGATTTGTCAAGTGGTCATGTTGTGGTTTAACAAAGTAACTTTTCACCAGACCTAACAGAGTTATAGAGCAGTCAAAAATTAGACCACCGAGAGAGAAACATGGAAAGAAAGAGAGAAAATAAAAGATGTGAAGCCTTCTTATCTCTTATCAGTATGCAAATAGATGAATAATAAGTACTTGCTTAGTATTGGAGCTACATGCTAATTGTTTCAGGTTTGCCTGTTTGGAAAGAAAAGCACCGGACTTAGGAATATAGGTTTCACATCAAAAAAATTGGCCGACGTGCATTACAACTTGCCACTGATTGGTAAACATCATCTCCTCTATTTATTGCTCTCAACGAGTACACCCTACAAATCAAAGCCTTATATATAGTGTTGATGTCGTATTCATAATTCATTCCCTGTTTTATTGTTTCGGAAACATAAATGTCAATTGCTAAGATTTACTTGATGAAATTGCTGTAAAATGGGTAGATGAGACATATTTCTGGTGGATACTGCATATCAGTTCTCTTTTGTAGCTCTGAATAAATGTACGATCATATTTGTATTCTCTTCTGTCGGTTTACAGTCCTTGTGATGATTACATACTGATGTTTTCATATTATATTTTAATCTTTTTAACAAGGGGATGTGAGGAGCTTTATCTCTACCAATATAAAAAGACACTAAGGGGCAGATCCAATTAATCTCGGACATCAAATAAGGCCAATCCAACGAGCCAGATTGCTCCAATGGTGAGCGCTCAACATGCCGTCAGCACTAATCACATAATTAACACGAAAATGATATCTTACCTATTAACTTTATGCAATTAATATACTTCTTAATATTAATGTGCATTGCACGTACGCATTTACTAGTGATTAGAAATAACCAGAGAGACCCTTAACTAATTTGATTGAAACAAATCAACCAAGTTGTTCCTTTCTATTTTGAACAAAACAAATGCAGGCAGCTATTTTCAAAGATGTGACTATGTGAGAGATCTCCAAACCTCGGTTAAAATGCCGCACATGGTACTTTCTCTCTAGTTAGTTCTCTTTGGTTGTGTGTTTGTCTCTGACATTCCTTGCCCTGGAGGTTCTTTCTACTCTGATGAATCTTTGATGGTTATAGTAGCATATATAACATACATTCGGATGTAAAGCGCTAGAAAACTTGAAAGATGTGATATTGGTTTGGTATGATTATCTACTAATCACATAAGTATTATAGGGGTCGGCCTCTCTTCCTCCATCAGAACTCTACTTACTTCACCTGTTATGCATATTATGTTTTCTGACTAGGTGACAGGCACCTTATTCCTTTTGTGTGCTTCAACAACCTGTAATGCAGTGCTCTCTGCTCTCCAATTACTTTTTTTGAGAAAAGGCAAAGGATTTGCGCTTCATGCACTGAAAAATGGGGTGGGGGGGTTATAGTCCTCCTAGGAGGCTAGTGTTACTGCTGGAATTTTTGTCTATTTGGGCCTAGCCCAATAACAGTTTCAGAAATTCCTAATAAATCCTAGAGGCCCACGCAACCCATTCGTGCAAGGCAAGAGGTGGAACTAAAGTTTAGTCCCATATTGCTAGTTTAGAGGGAGTTGGACCTCTTTATAAGGGAGGCTCTTTCCCCACTTGTATGAGCATGAGAACAAGAGGGACATCCACGCGCGCTCCTCCTCCGCCGCCCGCCGCGCCGCGCCGCGCCGCGGTACGAAAGGTCACGCGAAAGCTAAAACGTTTTGCTGTAGTGGGGATTGAATACGAACGACGCACCTCTTCGCCTGCTGCCTGTCCGTTTCGTCTCCCTCGCTCTCTTCAGCTCCCAGCGCAGCCTCGTCGCTCCTCTCAGAGAGACGCACCAGAATCTCTTCCTCCTCTCGCCACAAGTTCCTGAGCACTGCGCTGCTGCTACGTTCTTCTCCATCCCGGCTTGCGGCGTGCACCGCAGGTCGGGACAGTAGGCCTCCGAAACCGCACCTTTTGAGTCCTGTACGAGAGAAGGGTGATAAGGTTTTTGGGGAGCGCTCTGCGCGACTACTGACTCCTTCGTCACGGACGCCCCGGACTCCGACGAGTACTTCCCCAACGACGACTACTTCCCCGACGTCGACAACATCCTCAACGACATGGAGGACACCGACCCCAAGTCCAGTGCCTCTGCTCCGACTGTTGTCTCGTATGTGTTCTTGCTTTTCCTGTTAGAGGTCCTGTCACAGTTCCTTGTTCTAGTGTTTGCCCTAAACATGTTAGGATCTACCTCATATATGCATCTTGATCTACTGTCTGCTCTAGAGATGATCGGTTCTAGATCATATATGCAGATGTTATTTACCTTCTCTTTGGCTTGTTTTATCACTGCTATATTAGTCATGCTTTATCTAGTTTTTCTGTTAATAAAATCATTTGGTAAATTGCTCATATTTCCAACAATCCAAAAACCTTATTATAGGCAATTTACCCCAAGTGGTTTTGATGCTTCCATGAGACCTCCTATGTTTGAGGTATCCACTATAAGAGGTGGCGCGTGAGAGCAGTCTTATGGTTTCAAACCATGAGTTGCTATGACGCCACTCTTGGCAAACCTGAAGGAGAGCAAGATGCCCAACAGGCACAAGCTTTTCAGAAAATGGATACCTTGTTTAAGGATGCTCTCTTGAGTGTTCTTGGTGAGAACATAGTTGATGCTTATGCGTCAATTGACAATGGAAAAGATATGTGGGACGCACTCGAGGCCAAGTTTGGGGTCTCGGATGCCGGCACTGAGCTGTACATCATGGAGCAATTCTATGATTACAGGATGACTGAAGAGCGCTCCGTGGTTGAGCAGGCTCATGAGATACAGTCATTTGCTAGAGAACTTGAGCACTTCAATTGCATGCTACCAGACAAGTTTGTTGCCGGGGGTATCATCACTAAGCTTCCTCCTTCATGGAGGAACTTTGCTACCTTACTGAAGCATAAGAGACAGGAGTTTTCAGTTCCGGATCTCATCGGCACTCTTGATGTGGAAGAAAAGGCGAGAGCAAAGGACACACGTGCTCGAGGTATTGAGGGAGGATCTAGTGCCAATCTGGTACAGAAGAAGAACTTCCAGCCCCACAAGTTCAAGAACAAGGGCAAGTTTGATGGTAAAGCAAAGTTTAATGGGAAGAACAAGGCTGTGCAACACACGAATTTCAAGAAGAAGAATGACAAGAAGAAAGGTGTTTGTCATGTGTGTGGGGATCCTGATCATTGGGCTCCAAGTTGCCCTAATCGCTATGACAAGCGTCATCCTGGGAAAGGCGGCAAGACTGCTAATGTTGTCATTGGAGACACTGACATGAAGGATGCTGGGTATGGTATATTTCCCACTATTCTTTCAGTATGTCATTCTCCTGATTGGTTGATTGACACGGGTGCTAATGTGCATGTATGCGGTGATATTTCCATGTTTTCGTCTTATCAGACCGCAGGGACTTCAACCACGCTGATGGGCAACGGTTCAAGTGCTTCTGTTCGTGGTGTTGGCATGGTCGATCTGAAGTTTACTTCGAGGAAGATCGTGCGGCTGAAGAACGTGCATTATGTCCCCTCCGTCAATAAAAATCTTGTTAGCGGATCTCTTCTGTGTAGAGATGGCTACAAGCTTGTCTTTGAGTCGAATAAATTTGTAATTTCCAAGTATGGAACCTTTGTTGGTAAAGGCTATGAGTCAGGAGGTCTATTTCGTTTATCTTTATCAGACGTTTGCCATAAAGTTGTTAATCATATTTGCAACAATAGTGAATCAAATGTGTGGCATTCACGTCTTT